CTTGACACAAGTGACCTGAAAGTGAAGGCATAGACTTAATGAGTCATTTGTAGTTTTATTAATTCAAGTCAAGCGGAAACAATTAAAAGGACGTCTCTCTCAATCTTTATACTAGTAGTAGGCTTCTCATCTGTCAAATTTGCCAAAGAATATTCAATACGAGTATTAGATGAGATCAAAATTCCTAGTGTTTTCCATCTTCTTTCACTACTCAAAAAACACATCATAACATGGAAATTTATAAACTATGCCTTAGACTTAAGGAATTACATAATGTAGGATCCTAGAATATTGTTTCGCGTATGAATTTCATGGAGTACTCCCACCATGTTTTTAAGTGTCATGCTTCCCATTCCGGCCGTATTTTTTTAATTGTTACACTTCCTTTTTTGGCAAAAAGCTACATTAAAATATTATATCTCTCTCCTTTCATGGTACCCACCCAAATCCACTACAGTACTACTTTTTATTATATCTTTCCTCTCACATTCATTACTTTTCAATAAAATGTTAATCCCACTATATTTCTTTTACAATTTTTTAATCTCTAACTACCCCACTTACCTCTTATTTTATTTAAGTCAATTAAATTCCTAAAATTATGTGGCGGTTAAAGTGTAATACTTAAAAAACACGAAGGGTGTAGATACAACTTCTATGTACCGGACATACCGGTCATTTTGTTTAATGTTTAGCTTTGCGTCTTCTGTCCGGCCTTCCTTGTTGAGATGTTACCCATACTATTCTGAGAGTACTGATCAATCATCACTACTCGAGTAATTTTAATACTCCATGACATAATATCATGTATATTAACCCTTTTGGTGAAAGTGAAACTTCAACTAACTATGGCAAATATCTTAACAGGGTTTTTGCATCTAACTTTTTTTTAAAAAAAATATATATATATATATATTAGGTACTCATCAATTAATCTATGTGCTACCTGCCTACCTCCAATTAGTTTTTTTTTTTTTTTTTTTTTTTTTTTTCTTTTTGTTACGAATTTCCTATTAGTGAACAATAATATTGTCATATGATGCATATGACAACTGAGTCACATATTGGTATCTTGAACTGTGAATGGGATGTACTTAGGTAAACTGTGAAAATATACTCGGGATCAATAATATGATTGACCCAGTTACTAACAATGTTCCAGATAAGTCATTAATTAATTTAATTTTCTGCTTCAACATAAACTAAACACTGATAGGAATTTTAAATTAAACATTATTTTAAAATCTCTTCTTACTTTTATTGTTACATTTCAAGATTTTGTTTCCTATCTTTATACCTTATATATTGCCCCATTTGTGATACCCGCTTAATATCATACTCTCTCACCATTACAATTTTTCAAAATAATTTCAGAAAAGATATTTTGACTTTTACCAACAAAAAAAATCATAAAATTGTTTTTTACCACCAAAATTTAACAATTGTTTATGATATTCATGGTTCCGATTCTTATTGTGATTATTATGATGATAGTGATAGTGATTCTAAGGATAAAAAAGACCAAAAAGAAATCAACTATGGTGAGAATACAAGATATTTAAAACATTGTTATCTGTTTTCTAGAGTTCCTTACCCAATGAAGTTGAGTTTGTTGGCAATTACATTTGTGTATCGAGTAATGGTCCTCAAATTGGATTGATTGTAACTTCCAATAATCGAAATCCTACATCACAGTAACACAATGCAACACGAGTGCTTTTGGTATGAAAACTAACGGATTCAATGAATGGAAGACACATCTAATTCCTTTGGTCATACATCTCCATCATAGCTCCTAACTTGAGCTTGATTATTTTCCTTGGTATCTGTAATATAGTGAAATACAAAGCCTTTATAAACTGATGACTGTATTAGCAGATAACAATTCCTATTGTCTAAGAATATGTATGTTTAAACTAACTTACGATGAGTAGAATGGTTATTTGTCAAATAATTCCTCTAATGCTTTAACTTTCATTGTAATTGGTTCCTTATTGGTTATTTGTCAAATAATTCCTCTAATATTTTCATACTAATTTAAGTATGAAAATATGGGTAATTATCTTATCTTTGGTTGTCTTTCATTTTATTTTAGGAAATTTTGCAAAAAACCCCATCTTTTATGAGTATAATTTATTAATTAATTTAGGAAATTTTGCAAAAAAAAAAACCACCTTTTAAATCTTATTTTTTGTATAAAACCACGTTTTTAAAAAAATGTTGCAAAAGACCACCAATTGTAAAATTTTTGTTGCAAATTACCACCATTTCAATGTAAAACAATTGATACATTTGGCTTTAAAAGTGGTACTTTGCAACAAAAATTAAAAAATTGGTGGTCTTTTGTAACATTTTTTGTAAAAGGTGGTTATATGCAAAAAAACATGATTTAAAAGATGGTTTTTTGAAAAATTTCCATTAAGTTATTTATATATATATATTTTTTTCAATAATACACTTTAATCATTTTTTTACAGTGCCATATCTTTGGCCGGAAAAGAGGGTCATTCGACCCTATTTCCCGGCGTTGACCCGACCACATGCGAGACATGTGACTTCATAAAATCACTTTTCAACTATGCCAAACCACAAGAATGCCACCAGAGAGAGCGGTTTCGCTGGTGGTGGGGTAGGTAAGGCGGTTTCGGTGGGGTGGGTTAGGAGGTTTTGGTGGCGTTCTTATGGTTGGTGTAGTTGGAGAGTGGCTTTAAGAGATCACGTGTCTCGCACGTGGTTAGGTCAACACCGAAAAACAAGGTCAAATCCTCTTTTCCGTCCAAAGGTGTGTCATTGCAAAAAACAAAAAAAAATAAATAAATAAAAATAAAGGCATGTCATTGTAAAAAAATTATAAGGTGGTTTCTTCCAAAAAAAAAAAACCTTATAAAAGATTTTTTTTTGCAAAATTTCCCTTAAAAATAAATGTTTATTCAGATGGGATATATATTGTCTCTACTCTTATATACTAAAAGTGAGTTAGTTACATGTATAATTAATGACACTAAAAAATTAGAAAATTTCAAATGCCCGCCTTGTATAATAATCCATTAAAATGAATGCACTCAAGTGATCTTGATACATGCAAGTTGAGACAAAGACCTTGACACAAGTGACCTGAAGGTGAAGGCATAGACTTGATGAGTCATTTGTAGTTTTATTAAGTCGAATCAAGCTGAAACTGTTAAAAGGATGTCTCCCTCAATCTTTATGCAAGTAGTAGGCCTCTCATCTGTCAAATTTGCCAAAGAATAATCAATACGAGTGTTAGATGAGATCAAAATTCCTAGTGTTTTCCATCTTCGTTCACTACTCAAAAAACACATCATAAAATGGAATTTTACAAACTATGCCTTGGACGACTCAAGGAATTACAGAATGTAGGATCCTACTATGTTTCGGGTATGAATTTCATGAAGTAGATACAACTTCTATATACCGGACATATCTGGTCACTTTGTTGAATGTTTAGTTTTGCGTCTGCTGTCCGGCCTTCCTTGTTGAGATGTTATCCATATTGGTATTTGCTATACATGTGAGTATGTCTATCAGCACATATTCTGACTTCTGAGAGTATTGATCAATCATCACTAATCGAGTAATTTTATTGACATAATATCATTTATATTAACCCTTTTGGTGAAAGTGAAACTTCAACTATGGCAAAGATCTTAACATAGTTTTTGCATCTAACTTTTATTTTTTTTATTGCTTACTCATCAATTAATCTATGTGCTACCTCTAATTAGTTTTTTTGTGTTACGATTAGTGAACAATATCATCATATGACAATTGAGTCATATATTGGTATTCTTAAATTTTGAATGGGATGTAATTACAGGTAAAGTGTGAAAATATACTCGGGATCAATAATATAATTGACCCAGTTACTAACAATGTCCAGATTAGTCAGTAACTAATTTAATTTTCTGCTTCAACATAAACTAAACATTGATAAGAATTTTAAACTAAACATCATTTAATAATCTCTTCTTACTAGTACTTTTTTTTGTTTCATTTCAAGATTTGTAAATGTTTCTTATCTTTTTACCTTATGTATTGTCCCATTTGTGATACCCGCTTAATATCATACTCACTCACCATTACAATATTTCAAAATTATTTCATAAATACCATTTAAGAAAAAAAATAGTCATTTTCACACTGTCTACTCATTTTCTTTGTAACTTGGCAAGTATTGCTATTAGTTGTATGAAAAATTTTAGGGCTTGTTTGGTTACACAAAAAAATGGGGGAAGTGAAAAATCATGAGAATTTGAAAATGCGTGAGTTGTTTGGTTGACAATAAAAAAGTGTAACAGTGTGTTTGGATAAAAGGAAATGGAAGGAAAAAAAGGAGAGGGAAATGAAGCGATGTGATATCTTTCATTTGGATAACAAATGAGGAAGCAATGAAATTGGAAGGGAGAGAATGGAGGGATTAAATTGTAAAAAAATTATCCCTCCAACAATGGAGAGATTTGGAAGGAAAACTCACCATTCTTCTCTCCCCTCCCTTTCCCTCCCCTTCTTTTCCTTCCTCTAATGTTATCCAAACACACTGTTAATGAGGGAATTGCAAATTCATGGGAATTGTGACTTTCCACAAAACATGGGAAGTTAATTACCTAACCCCCTTAGATAAGTCAAGCTTTCCATGATTTGCAACTTTGTTCATGCCAACCAAACAACAACTTTATACAATTCCCATGATTTTAATGGAGGAATTTAATTCCCATAAAATACAAATTCCTATGGGAAGTAATTTTCCATAGCAATCAAATGACACCCAAGTAACAAAAGGAGTATTTGATCATTTTATTAGGTACAAATAATCATGCCATATAAATAATAGCTGCTTGAATAAAAATTTCATAAATATGAAGTAAGACTTTTAACTTTTCAAAAAAAAAAATCTAGCCATTTACTTATACTAGTATTATTTTTGACAAGGACATTTCCTGTGTTATTGTCATAATAATAATAATAATAATAATAATAATAATAATAATAATAATAATAATAAAAATAAAAAACAATTGCTATGCGTGTAGAAGGGGAATTTAAAAATCTATATAATGAGGTGAATTAAAGCCAGAAACCACCTCAAAAACAAAAACTGAAAAGAAAGAAACTAAAACAAACAAAATGAAACCACTTCATCATCTGTTTTTCATACAACCAGCCCTTTCTTTGTTTCTTGTTGTGTTAACAATGCAACAACTCACAACAGTTTATACCCTCGATAGCACTAATTATGGAGGTAACGAAACTGATTATACAGCATTGTTAGCAATCAAGAGCAAACTTATCGATCATAGTGTTGATGGTGTTTTAAGCTCTTGGAATCACTCTCATCACCATTGTTTTTGGGATGGTGTGACTTGTGAGCACAGACATAATACAGTGATTTCGTTATCGCTAACCGGAAATTTTTTAGGAGGAACCATATCTCCCTTCATTGGAAACTTGAGCAACCTGAAAATGATAGCGTTTGGCAATACGGGTTTGCATGGTCATATTCCCCCTGAAGTTGGTCGTTTGTTGAAGCTGCAATCACTAGATTTGTCTAATAATCAACTACAGGGGGAGCTTCCGATGGGATTAGGCGCGTCGTCCAACCTCAAATACCTCTGGGTTTACTCTAACAAACTCTCTGGATCTCTCTTCCAAGTGATACAAAATCTTACTAGGTTGGTTGTGTTTCAAGGTCAAGACAATGGGTTTACGGGAACTATTCCTACGAGCATTTTGAGGGTGAGTAACCTAATTTGTTTGAACATCTCATCAAATCAAGTGTCAGGTATAATTCCACCATCCATTTCTAACCTGTCCTCGCTTGAGTTATTGGACTTGTCTAAAAATCAACTACATGGGGAGTTTCCGGTGGAATTAGGAGCGTTGTCCAACCTCATACGGTTGTTGGTTTCCTCTAATAAAATCTCTAGTATGATTCCTTCATCCATTTCTAACCTTTCCTCTCTTGAATATTTAGACTTGTCTAAGAACCAACTACATGGGAAACTTCCGATGGAATTAGGAGCATTGCCTCGCCTCATATTTCTTAATGTTTTCTGCAATAGTTTCACTGGTTTGATTCCCCCATCCATCTTCAACCTCTCCTCCCTTGAAGTAATATATTTGGCTTTCAACCAACTACATGGAAGATTACCACTTACAGCTTCACTTCCTCACTTAAAATCTCTTCTACTTTTCAACAACCATCTTTCAGGCCCATTACCAATGTACTTGTCAAACCTCACACGTCTTGAAAATATTGAGTTTGGTAGAAACAACTTAAAAGGTAACATGTCCAATTTTGATTTTGGACACCTTCATAGCCTGAAAAAGCTAATCCTCCATGCCAATAGTTTTGAAGGTGACATCTCTTTTATAACTACATTGGTTAGTTGTAGAAAATTGTATCATCTATCATTGGGACACAATTACTTCACAGGATTACTACCAAGATTAGTAGTCAATCTTTTCACTACTTTAACATGGCTTGATATTAGTCAAAATTTAATAAGTGGAGAATTTCCTAAAGATATTAGTAATCTCATCAACCTTAGGATCATATACATGGATTCAATTGGCCTCACTAGAACCATCCCTCAAGATCTTGGAAAGCTTCAAAAGCTAGAGCAATTATATCTCAATAACAACAAATTGACCGGTGAAATTCCTATTTCAATAGCAAATTTACCATATTTGAGCATACTAAGCTTATCATATAACAATTTGGAAGGCAGCATACCTCCAAGCCTTGGTAATTGCAAAAACCTATTGTCTTTGTATCTATCCAATAATAATTTCAATGGACCCTTGCCTAAGAATCTCTTTGCAGGATCTGCCAAGTTTGTTAAATTACATTTATCTTATAATAAATTAGAAGGGCCCATGCCTGTTGAGATCAGCAAGCAAGTTAGTATAGTAGAACTTGGTTTGTCTGGAAATAAACTGATAGGATTAATTCCAGATGTCTTTAACTACTTACCTGAACTTGTAATATTGTATATGGGTGACAATATGTTTAGTGGTTCAATTCCTCCTACATTCACCTTTTTGAAAAGTCTCTCAGTAGTGGATCTTTCCAAGAACAATCTTTCTGGCACCATTCCTCAATGTTTTTCTACCTTTCCCATCATGTACCTTAACTTATCTTACAACGATTTTGAGGGAAGTGTTCCAACTAAAGGAGTTTTTGCGAATGCAAGTGCAATATCTCTCGATGGCAATAGTAGGCTCTGTGGTGGAATTTGGGAGCTACATCTAACAAGATGTGTGGAAAAAAATGGGAAGAAAAGAAGAATGTCTCATGCTCTCAAGCTGACTTTTATGATAACAAGTGCATGCGTCGGGGTATTGGTCATGGCCACATGCATATGGCTCTACTTGAAACGTCGTAGCAAGAAAGGGAAATCTAGCTCATTGGGCGCACTACAGAAGGAGTCATTCTTGAAAGTGTCCTACGACATGCTACTCAAAGCGACCGATGGATTTTCTTCAACAAATCTACTTGGCTCGGGTACTTTTGGCTCTGTGTTTAAAGGGATGCTTGATGGAAAGGCGGTTGCCATTAAAGTACTCAACTTGCAACAAAGAGGTGGGTCTAAGAGTTTCATGACAGAGTGTGAGGCATTGAGGAATATCCGTCATCGTAATTTGGTTGGGATACTGACAGCTTGCTCAAGTATGGATTTCCAGAGAAATGATTTCAAAGCTCTTGTTTATGAGTTAATGCCCAATGGAAGTGTTGAGAGATGGCTACACGAAAATGGAAATCTAAGCCTTCTCCAAAGGTTGGATATAGCCATTGATGTGGCCCATGCTATAAATTATCTCCATTGTGAGTGTGGCAGCCAGATTGTGCATTGCGACCTAAAACCGAGCAACATATTGCTTGACAATGACATGGTTGCACGTGTAGCAGATTTTGGGTTAGCAAAGGTTCTTCATCCACCCGTGCACCCAAATCAAAGCAGTTCAATTGGCATTAAGGGAACTGTTGGTTATGTTGCTCCAGGTAATTAATACTTCCTCTGTTCCTTATTACTTGACCCACTTTGACTTTTACACTATTCACCACCCCTCCTTTGACCGTCGTCTTTTGTGAATAATATGTAAGAATAAATATATTTATGTATGATCTTTTTGGATTCGTCTCAATAAGTAGTATCATAATATATAACTTTAATAATTTTTACTTATGGAGAATTTAAGTAGTATTATTATTATTATTATTATTACTATTATTATTGCATTCCTTGACGAAAAATTTCCATCTTTAAGAGTATGGCTTGGGAAATGAAGCATCTTTTGAGGCTGATCTCTACAGCTATGGAATTCTACTTCTTGAGCTAATGACAAGAAAGAGACCCATCGACCATATGTTTAATGAAGACTTCAACCTCCATATGTATGCAAAGGCAGCTTTACCTGACCAAGTGTTGCAAATTGTTGACTCAACACTTTTAGAGGATAAAAGTGACGAATTAGATGAAACAAGACCACGAACTCAAGTAATGCTTCAAAAAAGAGAGGAGTGCATGGTGTTTGTCATTAACATTGGAGTTGCTTGCTCAAGTCAATTGCCAAACGATCGAATGAAGATAAGGGAAGTCATAAGCGAGCTACAACATGCTAGAAACATTCTATGCAAGCCCAAATGTAGGCGCAACTTGCAAAGAGGTACACTAATATAAAACTTGTCAAATCAACTATTTATTTTGTCAATGAATTGAACTAGTATATAGAAGGGTTAACCGGTATATTCACATATTATTTTTTTTTTGAGTTTTTGTCGTTTTAGTGGTACTTTTAATGTACCATTATTCTTACAGTGGTATTTTTAATATACTATTATACAATACATGTAATTTATACTATTAGAGTATAAGTTGTTTCAATAGTACTATTTATAGCCATTATAGGTAACACTGGTACAATATTTATACCACTAGAAAAAAAGAAAAAAATCATCACTCTTTTGTCTTATACGGAGTAGCTGCTATTTACGTGTCATGTACTTCCTCAGTTTTTAAATACTTGCTTCATTTCTCCATGCGTTCATGCGCGGAGTTTTATAAGAGATTGGAGAAAGTAATAAAATATAGAGGTAGTGGGATTTGTTGAAAATAAAAAAATTGTAGAAAGCAAAAGTAGCGGAGAGAATTGGAGGAGAGATAATGTATGTTGGGTCCACTATGTGAGAAAAATTAATTAAATATTGTAAAAGTTTTTCAAATAAAGAAATGGAGCAAGTATTTAAAAACAGGGGGAGTAAATAACAGGCTAACAGTTATGCGCCAATACTTAATCCTAATATAAAACCTTGTCTACTTAACTAGTACTATTGATGGTAATGTTAGTACCTGATTGCAGGCGCAAGTAATTGAGCATTGCACGAGATAATTGGCCTCGCCTTCCTAAATCCATAGCAATCCAAAGATTATGATATCATCTTGGCGCTCTAGAGGTGCCCTGCTCATGATTATACTAGAAATGATTTCTGTGTATCAACACAAATAAAGGTAGTTGATTTCAATTTCCTGTGCGTGCATCCATGTAACTATTGTACTTTTTAACCTGTCCAAAAAAAAGGAAAAATAAAAAACCTATAATTGTACTTTTCCTAATAGTATAATCTATTCATGTTCCATGATTATGTTTATCCAGAAGGTTGAGTGATAAATTTGGAATTGTTGTATCAATAATCAATAATCAATAATCAATCATCAATCAATAATCATCAATAATCAATAATCAATAATCAATAATCAATAATCAATAATCATCAATCAATAATCAATAATCAATAATATATACTAAAAGACACACCAGCAATGACACGTGTCAGTTTCTGGTGTGTCCTTAGTAAATTTTTTAAAAAAATATATTTAATAGAAAATTTATTTCAGAAAATTATTTGTAAAATTTAATTGCTACTCCGTATATAAATAGAAATGATATTTGCCTTTTTTTTAATATTCATATTCAATTAACTAATTAATATGGAAAATAGAACAGCAAAATATAATCTTTGTAAATATTTTTTAAAAATACAATCTTCTAGTATAAGTTTTTATGGCGCAAACATAATATCCGTTTCAAGGATACAATTGAGATAGACAAAAATTAATGACTAAAAATGAGATATTACAATATATGATCGCTGATATGTATATACGTACATAATATTTTTGTCAATAACCGTGCATGGCACGGGACCTAACCTAGTTTACGTTTAATTAACAGCAAAAATAAGTACTAGGAATCAAGTCACTTTTTCAGCAACTAATATTGATCATAAGCATTGAACTTTTAAAGGGATTCAATCCAGAGAAAGAAATAAAACATATGCTCTAGACGACTACTCCTTATTTCCATTATTAATTTTAGATGAAATTGTGTAAAAAGATCGATTAATTAAATACAGTTTTGTTTTGTTTTTTTTTTTTTTTTTTTATGAAGATGAAATATAGTTACAAATGTAAAAAATGATGAAACATAATGACTTGATAATACTTCTTAATTTTCCACACTATCAAACACATAGTTTAACTTCATTTAAGGAAGACAAAATTGATAATGACCTTAAATTCAATCCATATACTTGATGATAATTCCGCATCATCACCACACATTAATAAATAATAATCCATTAAAATGAATGCACACAAGTGAACTTAAAACAAGTAGAGACAACGACCTTGACACAAATGACCTGAAGGTAAAGGCATAGACTTGATGAGTCATTTGTAGTTTTGTTAAGTCAAGTCAAGCGGAATCCGTTAAAAAGACATCTCTCTCAAATTTGCCAAAGAATATTCAATACAAGTATTAGATGAGATCAAATTTCTAGTGTTTTCCATCTTCCGTCCACTACTCAAAAAACAAGTCATAGACTGGAAATTGACAAACTATACCTTGGACCCAAGAATACATATAAACTAAGGGTATGTTTTCTTCATCTTAATTTTAGTTCAGTTTAGTTCAATTCAGTCGTAATTTCCTTCTCTCATAAACAATTCATTTCGGTTCTATTAGTTCAGTTCAGTTCAATTCAATTCAACTCCAATCAGTTCGGTTCAAATCAGCTCAGTTCTGTTCAATAAATCGTCACCCTAATACTGAAATAGTGCTATAAAGTCCGGTAATAATGACTAAGCTAGTCCGATGTGTTTTGATCATTGCCATTCTATATAAGTTGAGCTTAAATAATTTTTCCCTTTTGTAATCTAAGAAAATTCAGTGTGTTTCTTAAACTGATGAATGTGTTAGCAGATAGCAATTCCTATTGTCTATGAATATGCATACTTTAACTAGCTTTACTACAAGTAGAATGGTTATGGTCTACCTTTGGTTTTTTTATACTTCGTTTCTGTTAAAAAATTTGTGTACTGACTTTAAAACTTGTATTCTAATTGTGATCAGTTTATTTGGAATTAATTTCCTGACGAAGTGACAGGTGAAGTTTAAACAATGCATCTAACTTTCAAATGCAATGAAAATTGAATTATGTACGTATTAAGCAATTATTTTTTTCCAATATTTTCCATTTTTTTTTTTTGAAACAAATCCAATATTTTCCAAATTATGTGTTGACTACTTAGGCCTTGTTTAGTTTACCTTATAGAAAATATTTAATAATAATAATTTTAATTCAGTAAAACTATGTTCAGTTCAGTTCAGTAAAATTCATTTATGTTTAATAAAAATAATTTCAGTTCAATAAAAATGAGTAACACTAAAAATGAAATATATAGAGAATCAGTAAAAAAATAATTTCAATTCACCAAAATTGATTTAAGTTCAGTAGTAATAATTTCAATTTAGTAAAAATAATTTAGCTTCAGTAAAATTAATTTCAGTTCAGCAAAAAAAAGATGACATGAACGGGGTCTTATCCTCTAGTTTAAATTCTTAACACTGCCACAACCCATGGTTCTTTTGCAGGAGTACCAAATCGTTGATTAAAAAGTTAAGAAGGTGTTGTTTGGAGGGATAGGATGAGGAAGACAGGGATAAAAGGTTTCTCTTGTTTGTTTAGGGGGATAGGGATAACATAGGACAGGGGGATAGGAATAAAAATACAAGTTATTCCAAAATAATAAGACCATCTCCAATGGTGAGATTTGAGGGAGTTTTTTTTTAGGAAAGAAAGAGTATTTTTTGCAAAGGTGTAGACACCCATTTGTGTCTCCCCAAAACCAAATCCAGTGATGAATACCTTTTGCATTGAATCATAATCGAATGAAGTGAAAGTGTAGAAAGTCTAGTGTTGCGGCTAGTTTCTACTAAAAAATCTCTCTTTCTGTTTTCGAAAATCTACTCTATTTTATGAAAATAGTCAATCAAGTTTGTGGTCCATAACAAGGGTCCAATAATAGTGTAGTTGGATTGGGCTCGAAAAGAGCTTTCCAACGGTATATTATAAGCCCAATCCAATGAATAATAAGGAAGTTATGGCCAAATTACTAAATTGGGCCCGGTTTGGTTCTTATATGCGGCCCAATGATCTAAAGGAGGGCCTATTATGAATTATCATTTCTAATGCAATTAGGATTGATTATAGTCTTCTAGAATCTTCTAGAAAGTTCTTTTGAATCCTAATGTGATTAGGATTGATAATTAGGTTTTATGAGTTTTATTTGGAATAAAAGAAGTGTTTTAAATGAAATTACGATTTTATCCCTCGTACGGACTTTTACGACTTAATTTTATCGAAAAATAGAAAACGTGTGGAAAAATCTCTTGCAGCGCCGAACGTCAGGTTGTCGCCTAGCAACAGGGGTTGTTATGGCGACAGCGGCGTGTTTTATTCCTTTTCAAACTCTGATTCGTTTTTATCAAATCCGGACTATTTCATTATAAATAGTGTCCTTAGACCTCTGTCAATTCTCACCAACTCTCATCAAAGAATTTCTTAATTCTCTCTCTCTCTTTCTAAACCAACTTTTTACAAACAAAATTCTGCATTCACAAGATCTAGACACACCTAGCCAAGTTCGAAGTTGCCTTCTCCCTAGACGTGAAAGGTTTGATATTTTTGAGGGTTTGGTCCTAAATCTCTATTTCAATTATTTAATTTAATTCTTTATTTGTTTATATTTTCCTTGAAATTACTAACGTGTGTATTTTGTTATTAGAAAGAGATACGAGGCACCCAAGTAAGTACTTTAATTGCTTTATTGATATTTTGATATAGAAATCATGCTTAGGTTGTTATATATTTTGATTCCTAGTATCATGTTAGGATGCTTTTCTTAGTATGATGTTTAGGGTAAAGAATAAGTTCCTTATATCAATTATGATTTCTATGATGCTTCCTATTTTCTTTCTTAATAGCATGTTAGTATCATATTGGGGGTTAAAGATTTAATCTTTATTTTTTAGTGACATGTTAGGGTTTGTTATTAATCTTGTTAGTATCATGCCTAGGATCTTGCTATTATTATGCTTTATTTTAACATGAACATAATTGTTATTATAATTATTATGATTATCATTTGATTATTATGATGACGATTATTATTACGATTATTATGTTACTTGATATTATTGTTATTGCTTGATCACGCCTTTTATGCATGTTTAAAGGGAATTTGTACTTGTAATCACGCTTGATAAGATGATTAATAATCTTGTTTAGAGTTAATATGATTATAATTCAAGTGATCGCCAATGATAGATTTATTTGTGCATTAATATTCAACCAACATAGATAAACAGGTTTAGGGTAAACCTATTGATTGTAAGTTAGTCAAAAAGAGCACATGAATATGAGAAGAATAAAGTAGAGGCTCATTATTAGGGCAGGTTCTTTCTCTTGTAGATTGGATTTGTACCTTCATCCCCGAACTTCTAGTCTTGGCTCCAGACCTATTAGAGTTGACAATCTCTTGGATCGTTAAGGGTTGTAACCTTCACCTCTTGGACGATTTACAAGTTCCTAAAACTTGTTGGCGACTCTTTTTCTCTAGCTTCCTTCCCTTTGGACGACACCATGCTTAAGTGTATGATCACAGTGGGGTTCAAGTTTGGGGTAATGCTTGAAATATTCCCTACAAAAGGATACCAATAAGTTGGCATCTAAACTTAGCAACTCCAAAAGAAAGTTAGTTGTTAAATTTAGATACTCAACTTTGTTTAGATATTCAATTTTGAGTCTCATTTGAAAAAAATTATGGGTCTTTTATCAATATTATAATACATTTTGTAAGTTATTTAAGTTTTATTTTATTTTATTATTTAAAAAAAAAACATACAATATGGATTCAGTGGGCCTAAATTGAAAGTGACATTAGTATACTTTAGAGAGTCTCACCATTGGGAAATTAGACTTCACATGAGTTGCTAAATTGAGAAGTGGTTAAGGTAACACCATTGGAGGTTAAAAAAAAAACTCATTTTGTATTTCAATACTCAAAGTTGAATCTCACCGATGAATATGGTATAACCGTATAAGGTCCTGTTCTTTTGAGCTTCTAGGCAGAGCAGATTAGATTTCGTCATAGCGGAGTATGTAGATTTCAGGATAGCAGAGCAGAGCCTAGCAGATTTCGTCATTATTATTATTATTATTATTATTATTATTATTATTATTATTATTATTATTAATGCACTTTAATAATCCTAATTTTGCCCAATTTACTTTAAATAATCCCAAAACGATCCCAACT